CTGGCTCTAATAGTCTCTCCTTTAGAACAGCTATTGCAGGGAATTAATCCTAGAACTAAGAAGGCAGATAATGTGGTAAATATTGCCAGGTAAGTTACATTTGTAGGTAGAGAAATGATGAAATCAGATGGACATTCTAACTTTGATTTCCAAATCTGATTGGATATCTAATGCATCACTTTTTTTCCCCTTATGCCTTATTTTACTCTTACCTTCTCTAGCTCCTCTGATTTTAATTACTCTGAATCTTAAAATATATTTTCTTCCTTCTAATTTATTCTATATGCTAAAAATTTCTAAGTCTAAAATGACAATATTGTCTGTCTCCTGTAGGGAAACTAGGTGTTTGGAGGATAGGGCTGGATAGGAAGCAGACTTTTCACCCTACATGTAAATATCCCAGCTTTCTGGTGCTTTGGCATTCCACGGGTTGTAGAAGAATTACCCTGATCTCTGCTTTCAGCTTTGCATGGCGATATCCCTGTGTTTGTATATATCTGTGTTCAAATTTCCCCTTTTTATATCAGTCACATTGTTTTAGGGTCCTCTTTAATGATGTCATCTTATTTGATTGACTACATATGCAAGATCCTACTTCCAAATAAGGTCACATGGGTTAGGACTTCATGTATGAATTTTGAGGGGGACACAAAACCGGCTGCATCTAGCAAGAAGGGGACACCCTTTTCTGATTTACCTAAAAGTGCTATGTGGGTAGGGAAGGACCTTGTTCTAAATTTTCTTTATTGAGAATAGTGAGAAGCCAAACATTTCATCACACTGTTCCTAAAATGTTTTCTTCTTTTAAAGATACCTGTACCATGGCAATACTAATCCAGAATTGGCTTTTGAAAGTGCCAAGATCCTCTGCTGTATATCTTGTAACTCCAACATTCAGATAAAATTGGTTGGAGATTTCACACATGACCAGGTAACTGATATCGTTGTTGTTATTTTTTGGTATATTCTGAGTACATGTGAAAGTCACATTGTCTATAGAGGAATCATATTCTTGTGGAAAAATTTTTTAAGAGTAAGTATGTATATTTATATAGGATAAGCGAAAACCTACCCATGAACTTGGCTGCGATTTGTCTTTGAAGATAGCACACACTATTTATGGTGATATCATGCATACTATAGTATGTGGCTGTATAGCCTAATGAGACTGCTGCTAATGTAAGCACGTTTGAAGCGATTAGGTTTGTAGCTGCAACTTCTGTTTGTTTTCTGCTCCTAACCCATCGATTGCCTCTGTTCTAAGTGAGCTTCTGCAATTCTGATTGTGTCGCACTGTTATGAGTTGTCTACTTCTATGGTTTTCTTGTGATCCACATCTGCATCATTTCATTTGATTATACACTGTAGAGTTCCTCTTTCTGTTCAATTTATATTGAATCTGCTTTATCTTTAGAATTTCCTCTTTTTATTCAATTTATAATAGTTCTATTCACTGAATAGCTACAATTGGAGAATCTTTTTTTTTTTTCTTTATACACATTTATCCCATTGTGTCTTTATGGTGGAAATCACTGCTTTAACTAGTTGAAGGATTTTATTGTGTACTACTTCACAGTATTTTGAAATAGAGACTCTTCTGGCATGTTGAGTGGGACAGTTCTTCATTTTGTGTTTAATTGTTTAATTGTCCCTCATATTGTAGGACCTTTAGTTTCCCTGGTCCCCTGCCACTATCTATCAGTAGTATTAGCTGTATTAACTCAAAATGACCCCACTTATTTCTAAGTGCCCTCTGGAGTATAGTACCACTCAGGTTGAAAACCACTATAATAAGTATATATGTCTAATCTGTGGCTTACGGATCAGGTTATGAAACCATGTGATAATCAGGGGATGTTGAAGATTTTTGGTTTTATTTTAGTATGAATTATTATTACTGATTTAACATCCTGCTAGATTTCTAAAAGAAAAACCAGCTCAGAAATATAAAACTGGTGATAAGTAATACATTTCTAAAGAGAAAAGATGAGAGTTTTATTTTATATTTTAGTTAAGATCTCATAACATTGAGTATATAATGAAGAGGTCAAGAAATAGCAATTTAATGTTATTTTTTTAAAAAGTTTCATTCTTTGGGAAGGAAAGTTAAGGAAGCAAG